GTTGCACAAGTTATTATTAGGCTGAGCAACTGAACTTTATGCCATTGCCTTAGCCCCAGATGTTCCCACATTAATCCTATTATTTTCACTATTCGGATAAAATAAAAAAAAACTAATATGAAAAAACAATTCGGTTGCTTGCTTGCAACTATTTTCCAAGCAAAGTAAGTGCACGTTTTTATCATGTGTAACGTTACTGTTTAAACGGCGGATAAAGTAGCTTCATCATGGCAACTTGACAACAGCTAAGCTAAGCTAGGCTACTACTTACAGCATCCAGGTGACTTTTCAGAGTTGTTGTGCCACCGTGGTAGGCCAGTTTCTTATCGCATATTTGGCACATATTCTTCTTACCGTCGTCCAATTTAAAATGGTCCCACACAGCTGAAGTCTTCAGCATTTTGTGGGTGAAGCGAGGTGAAGCGTGCGGTTTGCGTTCGTGACTGTGAGTGAACGCGATGTCAGGAGCACAGGCTGAGATTGTATATATTTCCGCATTTTTAACGGTGCAATTCAAAGGTATAAATATAGTATAAGAATGTGGCAATTCGTCATTATTAATAGCATACATTTAGAAGAAATTTTTTTAACTTTTTTTATAAAAAAACGAATATCCGAATAATGAAATTGAAACCCGAATAGTTGGCCAGCGAACGAATATTCGAATAGTCGAATATTCGGGTACAGCCCTAGATTGCACAAATACAGAAAAAAAAGACCTACATTTAGACTGAAGCAACTACTTTTTGCCAGAGACTTAAAATAATGTTTAAATGCTTATCTGGAAACTTTAATGTGTACATACTGTTTAAACACATTGGATTAACAGAATCTCTTTCCCTCCTAGCTATATCTTCCGCCTGAGCTGCACAAGAATGGGTCAGTGGGCTATTGGTCATGTGACCAGTGAAGGGGACATCGTCCAGACCATCCCCCAGAATACACCTCTCTACCAGGCACTCATTCAGGGCTTCAAGGAAGGATGGTTAGAGAAAAAAACACACACAGCTCTCTGGTTTATTTTTGTCTCTGTTTGTCTCTTTTTTCTCCTTAGTGCTGTGTGTTTGTGTGCCTGCAGCTACCTGTACCCAGATGGCCGAGATGTGAACCCCGACCTGACAAGCTTGTGTGAGCCGGCCCACAGGGGCAAAGTCAAAGTTTCAGAAGTAAGTGGATGAACTTCATACCTCTTTACCCATTCATCAAACTGTCAACAACATCCCGAGGCTTTAACCGAGAAAAAACATAGATCGTATCCCGAGATGTTGTCTTATTATTTTGTCTTGTATTTCATGTATACACATCTCAAACGGTACACTATCGCCCGACAGGAGCAGTATGAGATTTACTGTGACATCGGCAGCACCTTCCAGCTGTGTAAGATCTGCACAGAGAGGGACAAGGACACTCGTATCCAGCCCTGTGGACATCTCCTGTGCCAACCCTGCCTCACAGGCTGGCAGGTAGAAACCCCCCTCCACTTACTCATTCACTAGTCATTTACAGCCCTGAACACCTCTGCTGTTGCCAGGGGCCACATGCAATTGAACAATTGTGCTAAACTAGTTTGAAAAAATAGATATCATTCGATTTAAAGAACAACCACAGATTTAGTCAGCTGTACCACCTCAACAGTCAACACCTTATGTTGCAGTTATGCATGTGCACTGAAAAAACTGAAATGTTGACTTTAATTAAGGGTATTATGTCAACAAATTTCACACAACTATATTAGGTTAGTTGAACAATAATATCAAGTAACAACTAACATTGAAAAATATGTGATATGATGACGTGTCGTTTAAACAGCCTCAAGTAAATGGTAGAATTCAATATTTAATATAAGTATTTAATAAGTAATTTCCAAATGGTTAGATGCAAGTGATATAAGTAGGCTATGTATGCTTTGTTTGTTTATTTATTATATTTTATATTTAGCATTTATCCTATGTTTATAGTTTATTTAGTAGTAGTGGGTGAGTCTTTGGCTGGAGCCACACAAGGACGATGACGCAAACGGACCGAAATCGATATCAAAAAAGTCTTCCGTCCACACGCAATAGGCACCAGAAACGTGTCCGTTCACACGAGACCGCTCGAAAGCGCTGGAGACGCTGTAGTACATATGCCAGCCTGTGGCGCTGTACTCCTGCCACAAAAGCAGCGAAGAAGACTTCTGGTGCATGGTTGCCATGGTTGCCCTTCTGTTTATTCTCCGCTGTGGATGTTCTGGCTCTTTTTCTCCCTCCCCGAGGCAAGCGTTTGCTCCTGCTGTAAATCTCTCCGGTAGTCCACCAGCAGATGACAAACACCCACCTCTCCGCCTCTTCCAAGGAACGAGGGGAACGTGCGGCAGAGTTTCAGTTAGATTTTTTTCCGCCGGTCAACATGTCCGTTCAAGTTGAAATCTTCCGGACAAAATCAGAAAAGTGCCGGTCAGAGGTCTTCTTTGTTATTTATTTAGCTTTAAAACAAATTGATAACGACTTTACATAATAATATAAGAATAAAAAATGGATCCTCTCTTTTCCTCCCCCTCTTCTGAGAGCCCAGCAGCTGATCTCTGAGCAGGAGAGGTGGGGAGAGGCGGGGCTATTGCTTCAACGTTATCAGGAAATAATCGTATAGGCGTAAACACGGAGCCATTTTCCCCCCAAGAGCGTTTCGTTCGCAGATCTACCCACCTTGGGACCCGTTATCGTTTTCTGCGTTTCTATGTCGGCCTCGTGTGGCTGAACCGTCTATCTGATAGAGAACTGTAGCGGATATGACCGTTATCGTCCTTGTGTGGCTGCAGCCTAATACAGGGTTTTCAATCTGATACTTTGTTTTATATTGTGTCGTCCATAGATACTCTTTAGGATATATTTTACTATTTCTATTATGTATTGTTTGTTTATATATGAAATATATAATGTATGCCATGTGCAATGTCTTATTTAGACATATATAACTATTCCAACCTAATCTAATGGATAAAAGGTTAAAGTTTAAGTAATGCAGTAATTCAGCTAAGTAGTATTAGCAGTATGATTGTCGACCAAGCCAACCTTATTATTACCAATTCAATTGTATGAGAAAACAATATCAACTTTTATATAAGGAGGAGTGTTATACATTTGAAAACATACATTGGGAATCTACTGTATAACGGGGTAAACAAGTCCATCTGAAGGGGCAGTGAATGTAATTCAGACCAAAAAGGTTGTGAACCACTGGCCTACTGTAGCTAATTTAAAACCTGTGCTAACGTTGAGACGCCCTGAAGCGAGGCAGGTTATTAACGGAACTGTTGTCTGTGTTCAGTGGTGTGAAACAGTCGGGATGACAAAACAAGATTTTCACATCCTCTGTTGTATAAGATAACTCTCATAAATCAATACCATGACAAATTCCTCAGTATCTTTTCATAAAACATAATTGAATTGCTGAAACAATCATTTGTGCAAAACATTCCTCGATTCAAGAAAAAGTAATCAGAAACAACCTTGGATCGCCTAGCCCGTGTTTGTGTATCAATGGAGCTATTACACATAAGGACATAAGGATGTTCAAACGCTCCTTTATCCAACTTTAGCTTTTACATTGAAGTGACATTGCATCTGTCAGCCTTATTGACACAAGACAACATTTTCAAAAATATTCCATACAGCGTTGCTTGTGAATTAGGTCAAGATGCATCCACAAATGTGTCAACTCTCCAGTTCTGTCAGGCCACAGATAGAGACGTGGACTCCACACTAAAAGCTTCCTAAACCAATGCATTGCATAAGCAAAAACTTTAATAAAGACAAAGAACAGACCTTGGTTTAACAGTGGAAAAGAAAAGAGCTTTGCAAATAAACCATTAGTATCAATATTGGATGCCATTCATATTTAAAATGAGAACTTTAAAATTATGAACAGGCACTTTTAGCCTGATCAACTTTATAGTAATTTCAGAGAAAGCTAAACAGAAAATCTTATGGTGCTGTTTCATTGAAATCAATTACTTTTAACCATATTTGATGGCACACAAATCCAAAGATTTCTGTTAATTAAAACTCTAAATTCAAAAGTGCACTTCCATGCTCTTCTATTATTAGTTTCAGTCTACCAGGCTGTACCCTCTCATCTGTTCTGGAGGTGTTTAAGTCTTTGCAAAAGTGCAGAGCAGCATGTCCTGACATTTGGCAGAGGACTTCCTGTTTTAGCACCGGCTCACATCCTCCTCGAACTGTGTTGGTCACATTCACTTTGAGAAAGCGTGTGTGTACGAGGGTGAAGGGGAGAGAGAGAGACCGGCAGGCAAGACAAGAAAATTAGATATGCTTCAAGGATGTCAGACCACAATGGAAAAGTTGTAAGTGTAGTTTGTGGTCAACCAAACTTCCTTATTGACAGACAGTTTACAACACAATACATCACCTTCAAAGGCAGTCAAATTCTGAAGATACTAAGAGTTTGAGTGTTAGTCTGCATACACTAAAAGGCATCTGCAACGCTTGCAGCTGAATACGAAAATATTCCCAAAGAGTACTAAAGTTTTTGGTACCACTTTACAATAAGACTACCCTTATAAAGGGTTTACGAATAGTTTGTAATTCATTTATTAATTAGGTTGTGAACACTTTATACATCATTAATAAACTTTTATAAGACATGAGATAAACCAACCCAGTCTCACATCTAAACGTGTAATAACTACGTTGGTCCACAACTTGGTACGTAGTATTTCTACAAAAACGCCTCTGAAATTGTAGGATCTCTACTTTTTTTTACCATTCATTTCCAATGGCTGGCGTCTATGTCACGTGATCTTCAAATTTGTCCCCGCAGAATTTATTCTCGGTGGAAAATCCCTATTTTAAGGTTAGTTTGGCCATTAAAATGCGTTTTGATGTCATTTGATGCGAGAAATATGAGTTGTTATTTCAGATTATGTGTGCAGTGGATGTACATGATCTTTAGTTTGCTAGTTATTACGAAGATTAGTTCAGGAAATTGTGTCCATACAACGTTTTCATTGTTACCAAGGTGGTTGCTAGGGACGCTGCTATCGATATTATTTCTGTTATGTTGTGTAACTGTTTAATGGTGTTATCTTTATTGCTACCCCCTTCCCCGTCAATTTATAGTGTTGGTCCACAGCGCAAACATATTAGTTTAACAAAATCTGCATCTAAAATTGTGGCATAGATACGTTATTTTCCCCCTGTGCAATTCTCCCTTTACTCAACAATAACACATAGCCTAATTGTCCTTGTGTTTATTTATTTGTTTGATTAATAAACACAAGTTGGAGTCCGTCAGGACCGAGGGTCGGAGCAGCTAATTTGCTTTAGAGAATATTACCCCCGGAAGTAAGTATTCTCTCCGCTTCGCTTGACAAACCACGTGATAGTCCTCAAGCTCTGTGATTGGATGTTTGACTGTGCTCCGAGGGTTACGCCGAGCGTCGAACAGCACTTGAAATGGGATGGAACCACGGCAGACTGTCCAAAACTGGATTTGAACGGGTCCACTCCGTCCCCCCCTCCCCCACCCCGTCCCCAGAACTACACGTGCTGGCTATTGTGTTTTGGAACATGTTCTCTATGGCACGTCTCTACTGGGAATTGTAGTTTTAAAAGATTTTTTCGTATTTCCCATAATAAGAAGTTGCCAGTATTAAACTGTGTACATCCCTGGAGGTTTAGGGGATAGGAAACACTCAAATTTAAAACATATAATTAATAAATGGGTGAAAATTGCACAACATAACAGAAATAATATTGATAGCAGCGTCCCTAGCAACCACCTTGGTATCAATGAAAACGTTGAATGGACACAATTTCCTGAAGTACTCTTCGTAATAACTAGCAAACTAAAGATCATGTACATCCACTGCACACATAATCTGAAATAACAAGAAAAGGCAAGGCAAGTTTATTTATATAGCACCTTTCAACACAAAGCAATATTTCTCGCATCAAATGACATCAAAACGCATTTTAATGCCCAACTAACCTTAAAATAGGTGTTTTTGTAGAAATGCTACGTCCCAAGTTGTGGACCAACGTAGTTATTACACGTTTTTTTGTGAAACTGGGTTGGGATACCCACTAGGTTTCAAACCGTTGTTGGTGTTTGTCAGACGCTGCAGTCACAAATCTTGTTAAACTTTCAAAACATTGTATAATAAATTTGTTATAGGTTTCAAATAAAACAACATCTTTAGAGGAAGCAGCATTATGAAGGAAGATGGACAGAAGAGATAATCACCCTGTCGACTTTGACACCAATCACACCATGACTTGCTCTCCAACGTGACATGCAACCCATAATGATCTAACTGCTATGAAATAAGACTGAGAAGGAAATTAAGACCCCCTGAGAACAAGATTGGAATGTGTCTTCAAACATTTAACCCTGGCATTCTGTTATCTCAACGTGTGGAGCAGCTGTCACACATACAATCTTGGGAATAACTTCAAATAAAACT